AAATACTCAATAGCAGAAAAATAAGATGGGAAGTGTAGGTGATGCCCAGATTCTGAAAAGTCTTTGAGACCAGTGGAAGTTCATTTGCCGCTGATATTTCAAGAAAATCGAGGACAAAGAGACCTGGACTGAAGCTTCTACTAACAATTTTAGTAAAAGAAACATAATTTAGGCAGATCATATTTCCTTAGGGCAAACATACATAAAACTGAATTTTTAATTAAAAAAATAAGTGGAGGGATAGTATGTTTTATAGGCATTGTCACCATAGGATTTTTTTTTACCTTATGAGCACTGTCCCCTTATAGATCTGCAAGCACCCAGTTTAGGTGCCATTTTTCAGGAAGAGCTGTAGCATGAAGTAAGGCACCCTGTGCTCGGCTTCTCCATTGAGTAGGCAAGAAAACTACCGGTTCCACCTTAAATCTCAGAGTTATTTTAAATTAAAGGCAATAAAAAATCCAGAGTACCTTGAATTCCTCAATAGAAATGTGCTGCGTGAGTGTGAAGTCCATAAATTTTATGAGTGTCTCCTTTTCTGCAACCTAACAGCTGGCACAGCAAGGAAAATAATTGATAGACCCAAATTAGGGTTGCTGTGGCAGCCGTGTGATCACCCGTCTGGAGGTCTCAGAAATTCTTGCTTAAAGGGTAAGAACGCAGAGCTGCCATTGCTGATGTAGATATCAACATAACCACAGAAACAGCAGCCATGCAAGTGTTGTTGGACTCCTGCAGGAATGCTGACAAGAGAGAAGATGATGCGGCAAAAGCCTCAGAACCATGTGGTGAAGGGGGCATCTTAAGTGTCAGACCCGGGACCGTAAGCAGGACCTAGCTCACAGGATTATTATAACATAAGTATTTTTATTATTTATTTATGTTTGTAAATAAGTATCTGTTTAGAAGCTTAATTGCTAACTTTCTGCAAGAACGTAATCCACGTGAGAGCAGAAATCAAGTTCAGTATCATCAGCATTATATTCTACTTTCCAGTGTGATATTTGTACATGATAGGCTGTCAATGAAGATTGGTCCAGTGATGTCCTAGGGTCCTGCGATATCATCACATCCTCATTCAAGAGTAAATAAATGAACAAAATCATTGATTTAAAACATATTAACATTATTTTAAGTGTTCCATCACATTCTGAGCCCCAGTGATGCCTAAAGCACAACAGGTCCCCATAATAGCTACATGGTTTGTCTTCTCCACTTGACTGTAAATTCCATCAGACCAGGGCTCATCCTTGGCTTGCAATACCTTGCGTGGCTCCCAGAATATGGTAAATATTCTCTACATCTCCGATCAACTCAGTCAAACATGGTGGACCCCTGAAAGATTCAGAGGCAGTGTGGTTTGTTAGAAATAACACGAAAATAAGAACCATGAGCCCTAGTTTAATTTTTATCCCTGGCTCCATGTATCTAAGAGGCTTATATTTAGACCTTCTGGACTTCATTTTTTCTCATCAGCTCAAAATATAATCTATAAATTCCCCTTCTCTATACGACCTCTTGAAATGCCCCTTTAATCAGAATTTGTTTAGGTCTCCAGGCATAAAGAGTCAGAGAGAAAGAGAAAGAGACAGAGAGATTATATATATGTGTGTATATTTATATTCTTTCTTTATATTGCAGACTTTCTCTATATTTCAGAAAAATGATTACCTGCAGTAGAAATGTGTCATATTAAATGTCCTATTATAAAGATTGCTCAGCCTGCAGGTTATCATCTCAGGGAGACCTACTCTGACTATCTAATTTAAAGGTGGGCTCCTGCCTTTTCACTGCTCCATCCCAGGACCTAAACAGTGTCAGCTGGTAACTGACTCTCAATAAATACATGTTGAATGAGAGGAAGAAAGAAAGGCATGGAGGAGGGAGGGGGGAGAGAGAGAACTGTTCTTGATTTGGGTCAGAAAATCAGCAGAGAAGCAAAACAAAGTATGTAATGTGGACTTCAGTTACACACTGGAAGTACTGTTTGGCCGAAAGAAAAGCTTCTAGTAAATCATTGACTTGCTTTGCTGACAATTAATTTTTAAGAAGGCTGAGGATGTGATAAAAAGCTGGTTTGGGAATGAAGGAAACCATTGGCAAATATTTAAAGACATGTTTATTAAAGTGATGGTTAAATTGAACAATTGTACCCAGTGAATTCTTACTTCAAGTCCAAAAGAAAAATATATATGGTACCCTGAGGCTAGGAGAACCGAAATCTCTCTGGTCTCTTAATAGAAAATCATCCCAACACCATTTGCTTAGTGTCTCCTGTGGGCTAGATGTTTAGTTCTAATCCTGGGAAGTAATTATTACTGCCCTCACCTTACACGTGAAAAACTGAGGCTCAAAGGGGTAAAATGACTAGTCTAAAGTTGCTCAGCGAAGGGGTGGTGCGTGATTAAAGCCCAAAGCTGCCTAATTTAAGGCCTAGACAACTTCTTTGATGAAATATAGAAGTACACTGCTTTTAGGGAATATAGTGTTCTCACAAATCTGTAAACTACTTTATGAAATATTAAAAGCCTAAAAACTTTACCAAGGCCTTATACATAGTATTATTGAGAAACTGCTTCCAAAATGAAATGCTTTCATTTTAATCCTATTTTCCAATAGACTTCTATTATAACATTGAAAGCACATTTTCATAGAAAAACGAGGCCTGGGGCATAATAGAAACATTCTTACTCAAACAGAACTCTTTAAAAAATCATGTTCCAGATAAAGTTAATGTATAATGGTAAAATATTCATGTAAACCAAGTCTCTCAATTCAAACGAAGCACGGAAGTGACACTTACGTCTAACAGTGTTTCCAAGGTCTGAACATGGAAACAAAGGACAGACACTCCCTGCCTTAAAAGCTACTTTTCTATGAAACCCCTTCCTGAAATTCCATGCGTAGCTCTCAGTGGCTGATGCAGCTTGTTTCAAAGCACGTAGAATCTGCTGGATTCTAGAAACAAACGAGTTGAGTAGGGCGGCAGGGAGAAGATGAATAAACCCAGAGGCTGAATTTCAAATAAGTTGAAAGAAGACTAATGAAGAAATTGATTTCTAGAAACACACAGCCAAGACCATCTGAAATGTAACTCCTAGGAGTTCTCAGACAACACGCCAAGTTTCCTTTTTCTCTTATAAATTCGTAGAATTGTTGCATCTTAATGCCCGAGGCAAGTGGAAGCTTTCACTCCTTATTTTTGATGTAGATAGAGGCCTGGAATGGTCTAGTAACCCATCGAGTGTTGCCCAGCTAGTTAGGAAGAGAGTCTTTTGAGCATTCCATTAGAGTAAGTACCTCTTGATAAGATTTTTTCAAACTAAAAACTGTAATTCAACTAGCCTAAGCACATTGGGCAATGTTAACAAATTAGCAAACCACTGAATATTCTTTAATGATTGTTTTTTCTACATGTTCTGTATTCTATATATCTATATTCTATTTTCTATATTCTATATATCAATATTCTATATTTTATTTTCTATTCTGTATATCTATTTTCTATATTCTGCACATATTCTACATTCTATATATTCTATAAATTCTTTAATGATTATCTTTTTATCAAATTGTTAAAATGAAATGTTATCTAATGAAAACAACTTTTTGAAAAATTTTGAACTCTTTGGAATAAAGATGTTTGGTGAATCTACAGATTAACGAGATGAACATAAAGCTAAGCAGTCTAGTTTGTATTAGCAAGATTCAACAGTGGGGTTCAGAGCAATCAATGTTACCCAGATAGGATGAGAGAGATTGTGGAGGAGAATTCAGAACAGCTAGGATATTCTTAGCAAAATATTTCTTTAATAGAACTGTGCCAATTGGCACAGGTTACACAGGGACCAATTTGGAGCGGAAAATGAGAAAGGATCAAAGTGCAATGGAAAATAGGAGCGAATGAGAAGGAGCTGAGAGACGAAGCCACCCATCATAACATATTTCCCTGCCTTGGCAGCTCCGCAGGACCAGCAGAATATGGTTCTGTCAACGGACGTGGCCAGCAAGGGTTTAAGAAATAAAACACTTCTATAGCTCCGCCAAGCTACACTTAAAAAAAAATTTAAAAGCCACTCTGACAATACTCTTGAGGATGTGAGGCTCCAAGAATCAAGAAAGCACAGAGCTGAGGTTTCTGCTTCATACCTCCTTCTCTTTACTGTGTTTCCTGCACAGACCGGACACACAGATACAGCCGAGACATCACAGAGCAGATTAATATGCTCTACACTATGTTCCTTAAATTTTGGAAGTTTTTAAAATACCATTGGCAGCATATTTCATTATCATTTTAATCGTTTGCAATTTCATGTTGGACTTTCACATAAGGCCATTTTCCATTTTTGTTGCCAGCAATAGAACTTGGTCAGCTGCCACTCTAACTCTCTCTCCCCAGTTTCTGTCATATGACCCTGTCTTGGTGAGAGAAAAGAGTTCCTGATGCATAATTGCAGCAGCTTGGGGGAAGCTGTTTGCCAGACACAGGAAGTTTCCAACCCTCACGGAACCTTATAATGTGTAAGTCAAGTGCCTGGTCCTCTTAGTGAGCAGCAGAGCATTGAGCACAGGGAGAGTCCTCCTGGAGGTCACATTAAAGGAAGGAGACCACTGGGTCTGCTGATTAGTGCTCTGCTTGGGCCTCTGCACAGCCGGACACGGCCTCCTGTGGCCCTGGGCGGTGATGAGTTGGACGGAGGGATGCAGTGCAGGCACGATGGGACACACTCGGGCCCAGCACCACCACTTGCTTGCCCTGTGAACGTAAGGGAGTTCGTCTCACTGAGCCTGAATTGCAGCATCTAAACATGAGAATACATTGATATTTTCAAGGCTGCTGTTTGATAGCAAGGTGTCTGTGAAAAAGTCTTTTGTAAGCTATAATATGACTTATGGAGATAAGTTATGAATGTTACCAAGCAAAACCATTTCCTTTATGAATATATGCACACACACAGAGACACACACAGACAAGATACTGAAGAAATAATTTCAATTAATTCATTATTTCAATATATTTTTATTTCCTTAGCTCATACAACTTAAAAATATTCTTGCATGAGTGTGATATATTCTGTCAGTAAGATGATATCTCTTATCAGTAAGAAGTGAAATGAATTTGTCTTTGACAAAGTTGATTGAGACGAATCCTCACCAGGCAAATGGGAAAACCATCATAGATCTCCCACCATCATCCACTGAGTGGTAACAGAGTTGGAAACTGAAGGTAAATGGAAGAGCAATTTTTGGGGTCCAGGTCATCTTCTTCATGCTGCAATATCCATTTAAAAAGGAGAAATTTACGTAAAAGGACAAATATTGTCTAGTTCCACTTATATGAGGTACCTGGAATAGTCAAATTCATAGAGATAGAGAGTAAATTAGTGGTTACCAGAGGCCAGGCTGGGGAGATGGGGAGTCATTGTTCAAATGGTACAGCGTTCCAGTTGGGGATGATGAGAAAGTTCTAGAGATGGATGGTGGTGATAGTTGCACAACAATGTGAATGTGCTTAATGCCCCGAACTGTACACTTAAAATGGTAAACTTTTTGTTACATATATTTTACCACAATAAAAGAAAAATGAAAATTTACTTCAAATCTTTGGATCGTTTCATACTGAATAATTGACTTGACTGAGATTTTTGAGGAATTGTTAAATGCACAGAACTAAACAATATATATCAAGTTTAATCACAAGTCAGTAAGGAAAGGAAAACAGTTATGGATGAAGATCTTTTAGTCCAGGGTCGCTTCTGGATGGGCAACAGCCAAGGCAAATTAAAAAGACAAAGAGATTCACATTGATCAAATTGTCCATATTTTATAAAATTTGACATTGCATCATCTAAATACACTGTGTCTCCTGAAAAACAACAGGGACAATTTTATCAGGTATAACTGAGTTCCAAATACTATAAAATTCACAGAGAAAAATGTCATGAGCAGGATGAATGAAACAATATGGGACCCAGAGCAAAAAGAATATTTTTATTACACTGCTTACATCCATGATAAATATATGCACAAGAAACACCACGTTGGGGGCCAGCCCCATGGCCTAGTGGTTAAAGTTCCCTGCATTCCCCTTCAGCAGCCCAGGTTCATGGGTTCAGGTCCCTGGTGCGACCTGCTCCACTCATTGGGCCATGCTGTGGTGGTGACCCACATACAAAATAGAGGAAGATTGGCACACATGTTAGCTCAAGGTGAACCTTCCTCACCAAAAAAAAAAAAAAAAAATTAAGAAACACCATGTTGAAACCACTGTGAAAAAGTTTGATATTCACAGTAAAGAAGAAAGCAAAGGAAATTTTTAGATAAAGAGAGAAACTATAAAGCAAATTTAAAAACCATATGCAGAAAATGACTAACCCAGTATCATCATCACTGGAAATGAGAAGATAGATAAACCATAGAAAATATCATTTCTACTATTCAAAGAGCATAGTGATTGAACTGAGTTAATACAGTCTATTTCAAAACAGCATCTTGGTAAAATCATGGGTGTAATGTTTGGACTGGAAGTAAAAGAAAAAGACAAAATTAACTCAAATTAAGTCAATTCCTGGAAAAAGGAGTCACTCACTCACTATGTCTGTAAAAGTAAACTCATTCCCAATCTGACAGTCATCACAGTAGATTTTGTGAAATACAGACGGTCCCTGATTTACGATGGTTCGACTTACAATTTTTCTACTTTAAGATGGTGTAAAAGCAATATGCATTCAGTAGAAACTATCCTTCAAATTTTGAATTTGGATCTTTTCCTGGGCTAGCAATATGCAGTGTGATCCTCTCTCGAGATGGTGGGCAGCAGCAGTGAGCCGCAGCTCCCGTCACCACACGGTCATGCGGGTAAACGAGCTGTACACTTACACCTGCTCTGTAGCCAGGCAACCACTCTGTATCTCACTTTAGTACAGCATTCAATCAATTATATGAGATATTCAACACTTCGTTATAAAATAGGCTTTGTGTTAGATGATTTTGCCTAACTGTCGGCTAGTGTAAGTATTCTGAGCATGTTTAAGGTAGTCGAGGCTAAGCTATGATGTTCAGTAGGTTAAGTGTATTAAATGCATTTTGAATTATAATATTTTCAACTTAGGATGGGTGTATTGGGGCATATCTCCATTGTAAGTCAAGGAAGATCTCTGCTGAAAATCTTCAGTGCTATCCCTAAAAAAAATGAAAGTGTCAAATTGTTTCCTTTTCCGAAACAAAGATTCTGATTTCATAAAAGCATAATTTTGATGACTGCTTTGAAATCTTTTCTTTTTAATAAAAAATGCCTGCTCCAAATATCTCCACTTTTTATCTCCAAACTGGGCAACAGGTTCTAAATTGTCTCGTCCATGCCCTTGCTAAATTCTGAAAGAGTGTAGTAACACAGAAAAAAGAAATTGTGTTTTTGAGCCCCTGGTGACCTTAAAGAGTCTTGGAGACCAAGACAAACTAAGAGGCACGGAGGCCCCCAGCAGGAGAGCGCTGCAGGGGCTACCCGCCAGGACCCGGACCGGGTTGATGGGAGTCTAGCTCTCCGCGACAGGCAGGTCTCTGCCATATACAGGTGCTTCCTGTGACCTTGTTCTACAAACATGGTAGCTTGGTCTCAGAGGAGTAAAATTTCATTTCGTTCCTAATCTTTCGTCCCTCTGTTGAGAACTTTGTCTCCTTCGTTTTTAAGGTAGCTATGCCAATTCTAGTTATTTGGTTGTTTCCTTGTTTGTTACCTTACACTGGGAATTGGTTTTATTGATCCAGCGACTACCCAAAGAGCCAGACAAAATTAGCAAAAGTTCTATTGGTTTCCATTTTCTTCTAATTTAACTTACACACTTATAAGAGATTGCTTTTTCTTCCTTTAAGAGTTTAAAATTCAAAAATCATTCCATCTTATTTATTATCTTACCAGAATAACATTGTCTGAAATACCTTCTATATATTTAATCATTTTAATTTTTACAATTGCTGATTATTTCACTTGATCAAAATTAAAAACACATTATTCTGTCCCACCTGAGATACACACTCTCTTATGTGCACAGGCACACAAATACACATGCATGTACACACACTAAACATCCATCTCGGTCTGAGTCCTTATCATGCTCTCAGGAAATTCTAATGCGACTTTCCCATAAATATAACTCCAGTAACTTATGCCAGCAAAAGACAATGTGTTGATGTAAACACACATCTAAAAAGCGTTGTGAACTCGCTAATGGGGCATTCTCAATCACAAACAACCATATTTTGTTTTAGCATTTGTTGCTGAAAGGTACAACAGTAGCAGACACAACACACAAAGCCTAAAGAAATAACATTTGGCTCGTGTAAAGAGTAAATAGATTTTTCAAATACATTGTTTCTCAAAGAAATAACCTGGAAAGTGAGAAATGAACGGAAAGAAGAGCAGTTCTGAATGCATTTCTTTTTCAAAGTCCTGTAAACCAGCCATATGTTCTACATTATGAATATGCAGATAGTCTCAATGCAGTTATTTTGTTTCTCTAATTAAAACCATCAGGGTAAAATAATGCAGTAGTTCAGGAAGCTGGGTCAGCTGAGTTTCTATCTTCCCTTCTTCAAAAGTGCCCCAAAGCCTCTGCATGTTTATATAATTTGGGGGGTCCTTGCTGATAAATGAAAAAGAAAGATGAACAAAGCAGCAGGAAGTGTAGCTTTATTCCTGGGTGCTTTGTGGTAAATCGTGTGCTTTATGAAGAAAATACATTTCATGGATGGATTTCTCTTAGATCCTTTTGTATAGAACCCACCTTTGGCGTGCCATAAGCAGTAACTTCTCTGAATGCAGGACCCTTGCTATGTCTGTCCTGGATCTAACAATGGCGTTGAACTCAAATGTATGCAGTTAACCTGTCAGCCTGCCTGCAAGTCCTCTTAATGACAGCTCTTCGCTTAGCATGTCAGCTGGGCCTGGAAGGACTGCTCAGGGCAGAGGTGTGACATTCTCTTATAAGGTGCCCTACACTCCTCTTTGAGTAAGATGGGGGGGGTGATGGATGACATGTGTATGAACTATTACTAAACTTGGTCTTCACCTGCAAAAAACCCTAACAAAATAGTTCCGTCCCAGGCTTTTTCTCTCTCCCCTACAGTTTCCATACCTCTGCCCCTTGAGCAACCACAGACCTATTTGATTTGCGAAGGCGCTGTGCAGAGGGCAGTGGTAGAGGTGGAGAACAGCTTAAGTGTAAATTCCTATAGTTTCCTTGCTTGGCACCGTGGTGCTATGAAATCCTTCTCCCTCACACATACATAAGTTGGGAAAAGCGATACTCAATATTCACTGAAGGAGTGGGTAAAAAAATAAAAGGTGTAGGGAAAGAATGCATGGTAGGGGTGACACTCTCACAGAGAGCTATCACAGACCCAATTTCCTTTCACACACCAAGCCTAGACAGCAGAACTCTTTGCTACAGCTTTGCCTGCCCGAGCAAGATGAGAGCCACGGAAAAGCTCAATGAAATGGGGGCACGATGAAAACATGCCTACCCACTCATCTGGAGGGTGGCCTTCTTCATAGGAATTTTGAATCCTTAAATGCAAAAGTTTTTTATTTAAAATGAAATAATAGTCTTTAACTGAATAAAATGAAAAGAACTAAAAAAAAAGACTGTCCTAGATGTAAATGTCATGTTTATCAAATTTTACCCAAGCACTAGCACAAACACAATCCCAAACCTGGGAGAAGACAAAGGAAAAGTCTGAAGTCTAAGGCTTACTTAAAACAAAATGCTTCCTTCCCGAAGCGCTCAGAGGGAAAGTCAGCATTCTGCACAGTGAAGTAGTCTTTCGCCTTTTCTACCACACGCACATCTGAACACTTCGCCGGTCTGAAGCAGAATTAGGTATGGCATAAATCATTATGGAGTTTTGAGGGAAAATAGAGCTACAGGGATTGAAAGGTCTGTCTGGAAGGGTCATGTTAGCTAAGTCTTCTGAGGGGTCCTTTGGCCATCGGAGGATGTGCCTCAGCGGGTGCTGGCGAGGCTACTGCAAACTCAGCCGGGGGGACAGAGACTCGTGACGTCTCCCACATCTCTCCTAGTCTCCTACTGCTCGTGAAAGTTACTAGGCTCTCCCTTCACACACACCTTTCTGTACTTTGTGACTCTAGGGCTAGGACTCTGCAGCCCATGGCGGTACTTTGCCAGCTGGGTGCCCGTTAAACTGTACCAGTAAGGGGCATGGGGAAGACGGGAAGACTGGAACAGGGAGAGGCTATTGGCTCCTTCTTGTCTCCTGAATCTCTTTTGTTTCCTATTCCTACTGGGTTTTGGCTTTATCAGCATTGCTGAGCACTACTTCCTCAGCCTTGCGAGGGCGATCCCTTCCAGTAGGAAAAGTCTGAAGTTCTAGCACTTAGAACCAGCCTCGTGGTGCCGCCTCAGAGATTCTAGAGCCAGTCTTGGCATGTCCCTTCTAAGACTCCAGCACCAGCCAATCAGCACTCATTCTCAGAGGTCCTAGTCCCAGCCTCACAGGGTCCCTTCTCTGACCTCAGAGACACTAGCACCAGGTGACATCCACACCTCAGAGGCCCCTTCTTCAAGATTTTCTGTTTAATAATCTCAACCTCTTCCCTTTGTTCCCCCACCCCTAAAAGTGGTAGCTGCTTCCTACAGGTAGAACCAACCATATAATTTGCAGGGTCGAGTGAAAAATGAAAATGGCGACTCCTCATTAAAAATTACTAAGAATTTCAAGATAGCAACAGCAGAGCATTAAACCAAGCATGGGGCCCTTCTAAATGTGGGACTCCGTGCAAATGCAGTGGCCACACTCACAGGAAGCCAGCCCTACCAATAGGAACTACCTCTGTGATACATTAATATTCATTTTTGGCATTTTCAGCTCATTAATACCAAGTTAACAATTCTTCACATTAAATTCTCTCTGTTAAAATAACTAGTGTAGTTTCTGTCTCAAGACTAGATCCTGGCTGAGACCCTCCTCTTCTGTGCTGAAGGAGTGATGAGAGTGTGTCTCTAGAGTGACAGCATGTCTCTTTTTCTGTCCTCTTTCCCAACAGGACAGAGAACTCAGAATTCAGGTTCTAATGTTCATCTTGGGCTTCTCAGGATCAATGTTCAAAAGTCCATAGTTCAAACCATCCTGACACATTTCGTTCATGTCTATTTCCTAGCAATTTATCCACCAATGTTCAGAACATTCACTGAAACATGGCAGTGCATGGTCCTGAGCTGATATAGGCACAAGTGACCTACCTACATACAGTAGTCACTCCCTCAATAATTAATTTAAATAGAAAAAAATCTAACATATGGAAACTACTTCAAAGTTAAAATTCCTCAAAGTCCTTGGCAAGTTGAAAATCAAATCATGGCGTAGTAAAGTCTACCTTCAATAATCATTTCCCAATCTGATAAGACATTGCATCCATTTCTTTTACCTCTTTTAGGAGCAGAGAGAGAAATTCCTTTGGGCAGCAGAGACTAACAGAAGAGGTATCAACTATTAACTTGAGCTGCCCAGAGGAGAGAGCCCTTTAGTCAAGCATTCTCAACTGAAGACTCTACAGAATGAAGCATTCTCAAGTCCCAGTTATTAAAAATAAAACTTACTCAGCAACGGGAGAGAAAAGCGCCACGCACTCCTGCCCCAGCTATCGTCTGAGTGAGCATAGGTACACTCCACTGTCCCAAAGCTTTGTTAAGAAGCCTAAGTGTTGACACCACCCTACAGCTACTGCTTACTGAACACTTTTCGTGTGTCAGGTCCTTGACAAGGTATTTCAACACAGATTTTCTTATTTAACCTCAAAACAACTCCAAAACTGGTATAGTTATGCCAACATTACCTGGGAAGGAACGAAGGTTCAGATTAGTTAAGAAACATCCACATGGTCACGCTTAATAGTAAATTTAGGTGACACAACAAAAAATTTTCCTTGATTTCTTCTAGGAACAAAACCAAATTCCCCCAGAGGTTTTTATATCATTTCCAGAGCCACTGTTATCAAATTATTCTCTGGTAGCAATTGTTTACCTTTGGGAATGAATTAACTAAGTACCCCCAGAGGTTTTTATATCATTTCCAGAGCCACTGTTATCAAATTATTCTCTGGTAGCAATTGTTTACCTTTGGGAATGAATTAACTAAGTAGATCACTAAGATCCATTCTTCAAGGCGGTAACATGCCAAGATAAGTAGAGACCACCTCGTGCATAATGCTGTGAGGTCAGCCTCTAACCCTCCAATAACTTCTTGGGTCATACACAGAAGACAGCGTTGGAGCCTCCAAGAATGAATTTAATTGTTTAGAGTCAGGTCTGCCTCTAAATGACATCATATGTGAGATAAAATCTAGAAAACTCAGTCCATTTTGCAGATATTTTCATGCATTTTGCTATCTGATATTATGCAGACAGGATGTCTGATTATTTCTGTGAGTTCTTTGGTTTTCGTTTAGGTATTTGGCATTAGCCTACACTTTTCCATGTAACCACTTGCCAGGCTCGTTAGTCATGCCATGACTTTTATGGCTCAAAAAGTAATAATTATATATATAAATCCCATTTCCTCTTATGCTTTTATGGCCTACTACACCTCCTATGAGTGAAGGATCCATAATTTTGTTTCTGTAAGTAAGAATATTAAAAATAAAGGTAAACATATGGTTTGGGATTTGCATGTGTGAATAAGCATGGAAAATATAACTGGAAGGTTCTGGTGGGTGCTGAATTATCTGACTAAAGGAGGCAGTAGCTAGTCCATTCGGGAAGGCATAGGGCAGCTGTACCTCTGCAGCTTCCCAAATCTGCAAATCTATTTAAAACTTCAAGTGGTAAAACTAAGTGTCCAGTCAAGCACAGTGAGCACAATTTGGAGCCTTTCTCTACCAAACACATATGCTTTAGAAATGTAAAGAAGGTAAGGAAAAAAATCTGCAGAGCTTCAAACCTCAGGAAAAGAGCCCCCCCGTGAAGGTAAGTCTTATTATGCAGACTGATGGCAAGCGATGAGATCATTAAAACCACCTCAGTGTATGCAGGAGGCCTTGCTGTTTCCCAAAGAACTGAATAATCTCAGTCAGATGGAACTCAGCGTTGACTGAGTCAGGAAACACGTCTCCCCCTCGCTCACCCATTAATCGTATATATTTGCACTTCCTTAACATCAGCAAACCTCTCAGTCCAGAATGGCTTTTCAAGATGTGCATCTCTGCTTATACTTAAATAATACACTAAAGTTGCCTATGGTGAAGCCCATACTATATTATCTGAAAATTTCTTTAAGGCAGAGACTGTATTTCTAACGAGGCCTCCGTATATTCCACTCTCAGTTAAAAGCAGGGCCGTTAACTCTGTAATGATACTGTTGGTACAAGAACTTTTGCATTGACATTAACGCTTACTCTGCAGAAATATTTCTTTAAGGTGTATATGCCTATATATCATGTCAGCCATAGAACCGATGCTGAAAAACGTACCAAACAGCATGTGGGGGGGAGGAGAAGAGAGGAGGAAAATGAAAAGAGCGTTCCAGAATAGTAACAATCAGTACTTACATACTAGTACTTAGAACTAATACTAGGTACTATTCTAAGCACTTTGCATATTACCTCATCTAGTCTTCAAAGCACCCCTAGGAGGTACGAAACAGTGGAACTGTGATTCAAACCCAGGGAGCCTAGCTCCAAAGTTCATGATCTTAAGTATAACGTCATATGGCTTTTTATTAAGAATGTTTTTGAAAGATTATTCCACAAGGCCCAACAACATGGGTGACTATCCTACTAAAGCCTACAATCAAGCAGGAACCAAAACAACAGGCTCTTGTTTTTGGTTTTTTGTGGTGAAGAAGACTGTCTCTGAGCTAACATCTGTGCCAGTCCTCCACTACTTTATGTGTGATGCTGCCGCAGTGTGGCTTGACAAACGGTGCACAGATCCGCACCTGAGATCTGGACCTGCAAACCCGGGGCCACTGACGTGGAGTGCTCCAACTTAACCACTATGCTACCAGGCCAGCCCCCAAAACAACAGGCTTTTTAAACGTACTTTCCACTATCTTCGCCAGCCCCAGTGGCCTACTGGTTAAGATTCAATGCTTTCTCTGCCAAGGCCTGAGCCTGTTTCCTGTCAGGGAACCACACCACCATGGGTCAATTGTCATACTGTGGCAGCTGCCGTTGCTGTGATGCTGAAAAATATGCCACTGGTATTTCAAATACAGGCAGGGTTACTCATAGTGGACAGGTTTCAGTGGAGTTTCTAGACAAAGACATCAATAGTACATTTTGAGAAATTATTTTTTTTTTTGCTGAGGAGGATTGCCAGTCTTACTCTTTTTTGTTTTTCGCTTGAGGAAGATTAGCCCTAAGCTGACATCTGGGCCAATTTTCCTCTGCTTTATATGTGGGTCACCACTGCAGCATGGCTGCCAAGTAGTGTAGGTCCACGCCCAGGGTCTGAATCCGTGAACCAGGCCACTGAAGGGGAGCATGCCAAACTTAACCACTACGCCATGGGACCAGCCCCTTGAGAAATTTTTAAAATGAAGAAGAATGCTTTTTCTAATCATGAGATTATATATCAACTGAGATCCAAAAAGGAAAAAACTGAGAGAAATTTAATAGAGAACTGCAGAAGTAGGCTGAACAACTCAAGTCCTACATTCTCAAGACTTGAGGTAACATTTTTTTATACTGTTCAATTTCTTGAATATTGAGTATCCCTACATTTACCTGTAAATGTAAAATTCCAAAGCCTCGTTCTTTTTATAACATTCTCATAATTGGGGTTATCTCTACTATCCATCTTATAACTCCCTTGTCACAATGTAATCATAACAAAGATAAGCAGCACGACTATTTCTATATATTTTGAGCAATTCCATTTGACTCACAATTTTGAGGCCTCGGGTAGGGGCAGGCATTTTGCCTGATGATGTGAATAGGACATGTTTCCTGCTCTCTTAGCCGTTCACAGCTGAAAAGAAAGGAGATAGATGCACGCTAAGTCACACTAAAGACAAGCAATCTCTGATAAATGCTAATCTGGAGAAACAGCGGAAGGGGCGGGACAGCTGAGAAGGGCATCTGAGAAGCCTCGGGAGGGGCTGGACTGTGAGGTGGTAGGATGTCAGCAGCAAGAGACATGAGAGAAGGGCATCCAGAGTAGACGGGTCAGCGCCAGCCAAGACACGTGGGTCCTGGGAGAGGCGGGAGGTCAGCACAGGGTGCTGAGAAGCTGGCGCGTAAGGTGGGTGGCTGTGGAGTTGTTAACAGAGTTGAAGAGACGACCCAGGAACAGACTGGAGGAACTTGTGATGTTCACTAAGGAAGCTGGGCTTTTCCCAAAGCCCAGACAGGACAGGCTAAGTTATAAAAACAGGTGTTCTTTCTAACCATTCAACTCCTCTTTAAAAGTGAGAAAGATCTAAACAAAAGCAGTATCGACAACCACACAATCCCTTCTTCACTGACACCACAGAACTTTTTGGACAAAACTTATTCCCATTGTGTGATTCAGTGGACTCAGAGTCAGGAGAACCAAGTTCTGGCTGTGATTACTTATTTGCCACGTGACCTTGACCTTGGGCTGACGACCCAGGGGCTCCTCTGGGCCAGTCTCCTTGGCAGTAACGCCAGCAGCGGGGTCTGCAGCAGCGTCCTGCTGAATCTCTCCCACCCTTTGGAAGGGCCTCCGGGAGGCTGGGAAGCGCAGAGCCCTCGCCCCCACCCCTCACGGAAAGGGAAAGCTTTACTCTGTAGATTGAGCTTCTGCAGCAACTTTCGCCTGAAGAAAATGTTCTGTGGTTTAAAAACCACTTGAGAATCCTCTGACCACTCCACCTCTGAGGTTCTTCGGCTTTTGCATGCTGTCAACTCTTGGCATCCCTTTGTCTGTATAATTTAAGGGTGTGTGTCTCGTAGATATCCAAGCGTGCCCCATATGGATGTCCACAGGCTTTCATGAATATGTTTGATAAGGCCTGACATGGGTTCTGAAAAAGCTCTGTTTCTTTGTCGAACAGATTTTATGATACATTTTCTCATGTTTGTTCAGGAGCATATAGGCAGGCAAGTAAACACTCTATAAAGGCAAAGCACAATTAGTGGCATAAAATAACAAAAACCAAGTAGAACTGTATGGAAGATGAGTTTCTGGCTTAGTCATTGTCCCAGCAGTTCTTAATATCCTGGAAAATGTAAAAAAAATATCCAGGCCACTGGATGCCAACTTTGCCAAATCCTCTGTCTTGGCCCATTGATCCTCAGCATCTCAAGGGGCAGGGTTCAAGCAAGTCACCTAGTCAGTGAAATAGCCAGCGTACAAGGAATGAGCCGTAAACATTATCTGACAAGCATGAATTGTTCTCCTTGACTCTGAGCATTTAGGGACTTGGCCAAGCTCTAAAGGGGGAGCAGTCGGGTTCTCAGAATATCAAACTGAGGCTGGATTGACTGAGTGGTAGAGGTGCATCTCCTCTCCCAGCAGCTAAGACAGCCCACCTGGGCTCGCTTTTCTTTAGAGGTGCTGATTGCTCCATATATTCGCATGTCTCCTCTTCCCAGTGCAAAATCTACCCAGGCTGGGTCCCACTTGCTTAGAACTCTTCTCTGCTGGCTTCCAGACAGGAAATACAGCCAGCACATCCGTGTTCACGTTTTAAGGTGCTGGTTGAAATTTGTAACGTATCCGGGAGGAAAGTGAGCTGGCTAAGACAGCATCACATGAGAGCTTCTGCTAACTGTCTCTGCCCACCCTGGAGACACCAGAGTCTCACCCCTAATAGCCAACGGGGAGCTAGGAAAATCAGAGGTTCTCCTTATCTTGGACTTAGTGAATAAGAAAATCAAAATGGATTGGTCTAAAAAGATTGAACGGGGACCGGCCCGGTGGCCTAGTGGTTAAGTTCACGTGCTCCACTGCTGTGGCCTGGAGTTTGCAGTTTCGGATCCCAGGTGTGGCCCTAGCATGGCTCATCAAGCCATGCTGAGGCGGCATGCCACATGAAAAATAGAGGAAGATTGGCACAGATGTTGGCTCAGCAACAATCTTCCTCAGACACACACACAAATAATAAGATTAAACCGAAACTAGAATTAGATATATATTTATTTTACTATCCAGTTAACTTAGGCATAAATGCATTCAAAAACTTATAAAGGATGTACAGTGGGGGTTCTGACGCAAATATCTAGTTCCTCATCACCACAAGTTGGTGAAAATCCTGTGTTAGATATGGCTGAGAGAATGGTTTCTGTTCTAATTTGGTCTGAATTCTTCTTCACTTTGTATTGTCACATCCTGCTAATCTGTGCAGCGTCCTCTGTTCCAGTTCCACACCACTGTGCTATGGAACGGAGTGCATTCTTATGACCCTATTACCAGGCACACTCTGGATTTGCTCAGAGTTCGGATTTTAATAGCAATATCTTAAGCAGTCTTATTGTTAGGAGGGTTTGTTGACTTTTAACACACAGGTCGTGTTGTTACCTAATTTTCCCAGGAACGATGTGAGTAAATTTGTTTATGGCGTGTGTGCACACATCTGCAATGCTTATCTCCCATTGCACGTCCTTGTTTCCTCTGTGTTCTTCCTGATTAACATTACTGCCACCCTGAGGCAGTGGTGGGAATTATAGTCTACTTATTCCAATAAAAATAGAAACTTTCAGCAGCAAGGCATACTTCTGAAAAAGTGGACTCTCCTCTGGAGCAGAAAGGCTGAAATCACAAAAGTTCTATTGTGATGGATCAAATCTCTCTGTCTAGAAGCTTCCATTTAACACAAACAACCCCTGAGCTCCTGGCTCCATATACAATTGCCTCCCTAATGCTCTAGATGGGTATTTAAAAGGAACTCAAAATCATATTTCAAACAAAAACTCTTGAATTCCATCTCATTTCTCAAGATAGCTTCCTTCCTCACCTCAGTAAAATGATACAAACATTCAAAGAGTGACTAAAGTAAAAAATGTAGGGGTCCTCCTAGTTTCCTTCCTTTTCCATTTTCCACATCCAATCCATCAATAAGAGTTGTAGGCTCACCCTCCAAAGTATTTCCCACCCTACTCCCTTCTCTGCATATGTCCATTCTAGAACCACCCTAGTTCCAGTGACCACCACCTCTGGCCAGCACTGTGCTACGGCCTCGTGCCTGGTCTCCCGACTCCTACAACCATCCCAACTGCAGAGCACCTTACAAAGCAGAGCGACGCTCATAAAACACAGATCACCTGACTCCCATGTGCAAAACTCCCCCTCCCGCACTTAGAATGAACTCAGACTCTTACCATTACAGACAAAGCATGGCCTCGCCCCTCTCTCTGTCCCTTGCTCAACTCTTTCCCAAGCTCCAGTCACAAGGGACAAGCTCTTCCCCGTTCCCTAGCCTTAGAACTGTTGACAGGCGGTGCCTTCTCATTCAAGTCTCACTTCAACTGTCACCTCCTCCTTTGCCATATTATCTACAGCAGCCTCACTCCTCCCTGACCTGGTCAGACTGTATTACATTACCCGAGCTATTTTCTTCACTGCTTTTATCATTGTCTGATATATAATATTTATTTGTAGGTTTACAGCCTGTCATCCACTTCTAGAATAAAAGCTCTCTGAAGACAGAAATCATCTGCCTCCTGCATCACTCCATCTCCCGGCACATGGCAGTGTGAGGCATAGAGCAGACACTTAATGAATATTTGATGATATTAGGTGGCTATTGGATTGGGACACTGGCTCTGCCACTTAATATCTGTGTTATCTTTGTAAAGTTACTTAATCTACATTTCCCTCAGTTTCCTCATCTATAAAATGAGGACACAATAGTATCTGTCTTGTTAGGTTATTGTGAGGACTAGTTAAAATAAAATATATAAAGCACTTAGAAAAGCACAAATCAGGTGTTTATTACTATTATTGAAAAAGTAACTGATCCACATCATGTAAGCTCTGTCATCAAGTAATTGCTATCAGAAAACATGTGAAATTTAAAAGGGATCCTCTGAAGATCATGCTTTAACCAACAATGAAATTCTAAAGGAGAATTTCTGAATTCACGGCAAATGGCAGGTGAGATAAATGTAATCAGAGAGTTTTGTGGGTCCCATCAAACTCTTCTTCAGGGCTTGTTCCTTTTTCTAAGCTTAGGTCTGAAACTCTACAAGACAGAGCCCAATACTTGCTGGCAAGAAAAAATGGAATTCAAGTCCAGAAGTATACACTTACTAACTACGCACCCTTGGTCATTTAATCACTCAGCCTCCCTTCTTTCATCTATCGAATAGTAATACAAGAACATCTACCTCATAGAGCTGGAGGAGAGTCTTGACAACCCACAGGAAAATACGCTGCCTCTGTGAAGACCAGCAGGGATCTGGGGTTGGCTGTGGCGTCTCTTCACTCCCACTCAATTGAGTCCCTCCTCAGCTAGGTGCTAGGAAAGTACTAGATGCTGAAGACGCCCAGGGACACTGAGAATAAAACAGAGCCCTGCTCTCAAGGAGCCCAGAGCATGGAGGAAAGATGATCCTGTAAACAAAGTGAGCTGTGTAATGACTGCAGCAAGAGGAGCAAGTGAGAGCAGCAAAGGTTGCTGGGCGGGGGCAATTATTAACTCCATCTGGAGCGGGTGGGAGGTCTGCGGGGGAGGGCTTCCTGACCTCCTCATCTGTCCTGACCCAGAGACTCATCTTGTGGTCATAAGCACTTCCAGGAGATCAGGAGAGCTCTGAAACTAATCTGGAGTTCTGGCTCAGTCTGAGGTACACCTAAGCTGGCCTTGACACACTCAAACGTCAAGGAAACTCAAACCCCGTGTGTCATATTCCAACTTGTAAGCTGACCCTCAGGCCACCTGTGCTTTTTGGAAATCCTCTAAACTGGAGATCAAGCACCAGAATAAACCACGAGGTTTTCTTGGAATGCCCTTTAGCCCTGCAATCACCTCTTATCCGCGCGCAGAGATTTTATACTTCATTCAAGGCCTAGACCAAATTTCCTTTCCTTCCAGGATCCTTCCAGTCCCGTCTCTTCACCTCCCTCGGCTAATCATACCTTGCCCCTGATGTATGTTTTTAAGTCACAAAATCCAGCATGTTTTTCTTATACTAATTATTTATGCTATCATATGTTTCTTACATTTGACAATATAAGCCACTGTAGTAGAAATATGTCCTTTTTCGGTTTGTTTTTATTCTGCTTTGTTTTTTTTTTTTTTTAAAGATTTTATTATTTCCTTTTGTTCCCCAAAGCCCCCCCGGTACATAGTTGTATATTCTTCGTTGTGGGTTCTTCTAGTTGTGGCATGTGGGACGCTGCCTCAGCGTGGTCTGATGAGCAGTGCCATGTCCGCGCCCAGGATTACGAACCAACAAAACACTGGGCTGCCTGCAGCGGAGCGCGCGAACTTAACCACTCGGCCACGGGGCCAGCCCCTATTCTGCTTTGTTTTTAATGTTTTGCCTAGAGTAGATGCTTTATCCACAATCCCAGACTCACATTATGCAAATAAGGTGCTAAAAAAGGAACAAATGCATTATTTAAATTGGAATAGGCCCAGTATTTAGGAGAAAGAAAGAACGTGGGCAGAACACTGGCACATCTCTACGGTGTGATCGAACAACTGAGGGAAAGATTTCCCATCAACTCTGCAAACATAATCTGCATACAATTCTTTCTACAGGGTGCTCACCTGATTAGAGACTCATTCTCTTCAAAAAAGCAGCTATTACTTGGTAAGATATCAGTTATTCATAGATGTTATAAAGTTATTTTCAAAGACAAGCCATAAGCTAAGGAGAACACATGTTAAATAGGAAATCGATGAAACGTTTGCCCTTTATTAACTGACTAACTTTGGAAACTCTCCCTCAACTCTCCGGCCCTCAGAATGGGGATAGTGAAACTTTCCGTCAGAGGCCTGAGGTGAGGACACGGATAGGGCTTATGTGGAAGTTGGCAGGACCTCAAATTTGAGCCTCTATATCCCTCCCCTCCACATCTAGCTGGTTTATCTTTCATGAATTCACTTCCTAATAAATATTCATGACATACTGCTCTATGCTAAATGCTATGGGCGCAGGAGTGAATAAGAAAGAATGCTTTCTATCTTCACAGAGGGCAAGATGAATATTGAGCAAATAATAGCAAAATTAAATAATCACTGTGTGACATGTGCAAAGAAAGAAGAAATATAGGACACCCGAAGAGTGAATGACAGGGAGGGCCTGCTCTCGTTTTTCGGGGATTGGTTAGAAAGGACTTTAGGAATGGGAATGCATGTGTGTGGGAAGAAGAAATTTCAGAGCATGAGGCTTTTTGGGTAATCGTTGTCCAGCCAAAGAATTGCTGAAGATCAATAGAGTGAGAGGGGGGTGCCGACATGTCCAGAGGTAGGGACAGCATGCACATGAGAGCAGACAAGGAAAGTCTCTAAATTACAAGTACAAGATGAGGTATGGCTGCCAGGCATTGTTGCAGCACGTCTCCAATTAGCCCTGCCAGATATCTGTGAAGTGTTAATCAGTACTATTTTTCCCTAAAAACTTCCTCATCACCCTTCCTCTGCTGCTTACCTCTCTCACCCTCACCAGATCCCTCTGGAGCCTGCGTACCTTGCTTTACGGGAAGGATGTATCAGAACAAAAAAAGCAAAGAACAGGGGCTGGCCACTGGCATAGTGGTTAAATTTTCATGCTCCACTTCAGCAGCCGGAGGTTCACAGATGAAGATCCCGGGTGTGGACCTACACACCACTCATTAGGCTATTCTGTGGCAGCATTCCACATACAAAAAATAGAGGAAGACTGCCACAGATGTTAGCTCAGGGCTGGTCTTCCACACCAAAAAAAATAAAATAAAATAACAGGAAAAATCTCCATATATATTGTTCCCAAAGGCAAAGTCTTTAGGTGCAGAAAGGACTCTTGACATAGACAAATGTTTGAGAGCAAGAGATCTGAGGAATGCCAGGCTTCCCAATCCAGAAAGACTGAGGAAGGTAAAGTTCCTCACAACGCCTTTGCCTCTGCCTCAAAGGAGAAAATATGCCCCTGGCTGGGAGCAGAGAAAGAGAGCTGGTGACTCAATGATGCGGGTGTAAACATTAGTGAGTCCAGAGAGGGCACTTGCTCTGTTTCTGAAATGTGACTAAATCCAACAGAGGTATGAAAACTGCAAAAGCAGAAGAGCCAATGCTGTCCTGGCAGAGCCTCATGGAAGCGGCCAGAGCCGGGGGAGGTCCTGACTGAACAGCTGGTCTAGACCCGTGGTGAACCTCGCACGCCCTGTGTCAAGTGACCTAATTATCTTGTGCCATAGACTCTCCATGGAAGTCGTCAACAGAGCTGCTGGAGCCCATGGGACGAGGCCTAGGCACAAAGGACATCAAGACAGAAACACACGGGCAAACGACCAAGTCCCAACAGGATAACGGATACCTCAAAACTTCCTATTTGAGAGATTTGTACAGTTGACCTTGAGCAACCATTAGGACATTGAAGACCCCGAATAGACTAAGATACACAATCTTTATGGAATGCAATCCAGAGATAAAAATTGGTTGTCATTAAAAATGGAAAGTTATACATTTGTAGACCTTAATTTGTGAACTGAGAGTCACACCTGCCATACCTGTTTCACTCTGAGTTCTTAGATGCCAGAATTGCTTTTCCATCCTCCGAGCTATTCCCGATTCCAATTTAAATTCCTGCACTTGTGTTTAGCTCCAGTATCACTGCAAAGATTTTTTTTAAGAGAAATCAAGTCGTTACAAATTTTGCTCTTGTTACTGTGAACCTATGTGTCCTGCTGTGAAGCGGCTTCCATTTGATAGGCTGCAAAGAAGATTAAAAGGCCAGCAATTATGATCCTCCTCAGATGCAGGAACTGAGCTCTGGCCCCAGCGACTGGAAATCTGTACGTCCTGGTGCTGGCGGAGCCTTTAGCAGTTCTGCCTGAGCCGCTCTTTGAAGTGTGTCCAAACAGGACTTGGAATTGCAAACACTAGCTGCTCCACTCTCCTCAGCTACAGGACTGAGAAACGGGCTTCTGTTTGATGGCGTCTCATCTAAGGTGGCTTTTAGCTTTTAAACAAAAGAGATTACTCATGCATCAAAGCTAGTTGCTCCTTAGCAAAGGGTAACACAAATTCTTGGGGGAAGAGAGAAAGGATGAAAATTCAGCCTTTCCAGTTCCCTTCTTGAGTTCCTTTTCTAAGTCACTTTCACCAATTAGCTCCTAAAAATCCTTGCTGACGGCAGTCTATAGATGAAAATCCAAACCAAATGAGCCTCAGCTGGGGAGCAAAGGCTTCCACGGGGAAGCAGCGAACAGATTAGGAACTGGCTCAATAAAACTCTAAGTGTGGGAATTTAGCTAACGGACATCAGGGAGATTTGGGCTCCAGGGACTAAAGTCTGAGTCACTCCAGCTATTTCCGGTCTCTATCCCTTTATTTACGTATTTTTTATTTATTTTAAGTACCACATGGCCTGATCCTGGAGCCTGGCTTCATCTTTCTGCACGCTGCACTGAGTCACGGTGGCCTTGAAGACTGAACACAGGTTTAAGAGCTCAGGCTCATTCCAGGGTCTGTTTCTACCCACCTCCCGCCATCTGGATGGGTACACCACTATTTTGTCCTTACAAAAGGAGAGGGGGAAACAGGCAGAACGTGGAAGGAGAATGCAAGTAAATACAACAATGAACTTTATAACAAAGGAAAAGTGATTTCAGAGTGTGTCCTAGGCAAGGGTTTACATTGTTTTGGAAGAACAGATTTTTAATAGACAGAGTGTTGCACTCTGCATGCTTTGCAAAATGACTGGTTAACTCCACGATGAGCAGCTTTTTGGCTAGCAGAGGAGTATCACGTTCTTCCTGTGAATTTGGCAGTGTTTAATATTCATAGAAATGATACTGTGCTCAGAGCATCTTTGAGCAGACCAGAAGAACTTCCCTAAGCAGCAAAGGGACCAGAAGGGAAATATAGTGCCTGCATAATATTAGAAGGGAGGGTTAGAAAAACAAAGCGAACACAGTGCTCATGGCCTCCCTGCATTAGTCTGCGAGGGCCGCCCAACACAGTTGTACAGACCGAGGGGCTCAAGGAGCAGAAATGCATTTTCTCACCATGTGGAGACCAGAAGTCCAAGATCAAGGTGTAGGCAGGCCTGGTTTCTCCTGAGGCCTCTCTCCCTGACTTGCAGACAACGACTCCTTCTCCTGTGTCCTCACTCGGCCTTTCCTCTGTGCACACACCCCTGGTGTCTCCTTTACTGTCCTCATCTCCTCTTCCTATAAGGACACCAACCAGATTGGATTAGGTCCCTCTAATGACCCAATTTTAACGTAATCACCTCTTTAAAGGCCCTATCTCCACATTCTGAGGCAACGGGGGAGTTTTACGGGGCGCATTCAGCTCATAATACTTACGCTAATATTTAGTCTTGCTGAACATTATAACAGGAATCTGCGTGTTTGAGTCTTGAGAGAAAGCGGGCCACACAGGTAACAATATTGAGATAATGAGTAATTACAATTGTTATCGGTGTTATTAAATCAAGATATTTTCCCTGAATATTGTA